TTTTCAATGAAATCCTATTTTTATACCAAAAATTGTGATTTTCTCCCATTTTTTGCTTTGATTTTAGTTTTGATTAAAAGTTTATCCAATTTTAACTCCCTTTCCGTCCGCTGCCATCCATTGGCGCTGAAATCGTAAGTGTTTTCTCAACAGATGTCAGCATTTGTTTCGTATTTATTGCGGAATTAATTTTGAGGAAAAAGTACAGAAAATTGACTAAAAGTATCACTAAATGGCTAAAAATCGCTTTCATTTGTGTTTAATGTTCTGTTGGAGCGCCTCCTGGTGGGCGACGCCTCCCCACACGGACGCCGAGTACTCCACTTCCTCGCGGAGCGCCAACTCCAGCGGCAGATATCGGGCGCCGTTCACAATGCCCTTCACGGCGCCTATGGTTTCGCGCGCGCCGTAGCCCAACAGCCGCTCCACCCACTGGTGCGCGAACTGCACGCCGTTTACGTCACTCGGGATGACGTCGTCCGCGAGACCCAATCGCAGCGCTTCTGTCGCGTCGAGGCGCCGCCCACTCAGCATCATCTGCAGCGCCCTCTGCGGACCAATGAGAGCGGCGAGACGCGAACCCCCGCCCCACGCGCTCGCAATGCCGAGACGGATGTGCACGAAGCCCATGAGCGCGCTCTCGCCCATCAGGCGGAAGTCACATGACGTCGAGATCTCGGCCCCGCCCCCGATCGCCATTCCCTCGACCACTGCGACCGACACCAGAGGGAGCGCCTGCAGTCGCGAGAGATTCGCGTGCATCAGAAGCGACATCCGGCGGCCGTTCACGGGATCGGCGATCGCGCGCACAGTCGTCAGGTCTCCGCCCGAACAGAAGAAGCCGTCGGCGCCGCACACGACGACCGCCCGGCCCTAAGGGGAGACATGGATGTGATTGGTTGTCATGGAAACGGGTTTTTACTCACTTTCTTCCATCTCTGCAACTCTTCAATGGATTCCCAGAACTGAGACATCATTTGTCCGGAAATTGCGTTTCGTTTCGAAGCGTTTCGAAAGCGAATGATCGCCACTCCCGTCGAGTCGTTCCGCTCGAGCTCTACGGATCCCGAGCCCTGCGTTCGCGAGAACTGCCGCCGAATGTCCAGCAACTCGTCCTTCGCGTCCATTGGCTGAGAGAGCGAAGAGAGCGCGCGGCGAGAGACGAGTCGAGCGATTGTTGTGTTGGCTTTGAATCGCATCTCAATAATGATTTCAAAAACTCTTTTCTCGCGATTTTGAGGAAATGTTTGTCAGAAATCTGAGCGAAATTCCCAACAATGAGGTCACGAGCGAAGCAGTCGTCGAATGCGTGAACAGATTTCGACATCTCTTCGCATTGTTTTCACGCGATTTCAGACGAAACGAAAAGAAGAAAATTTGAATTTCTTTCCAACGAAAAGATATCAACGGTTTTCAGTGTTTCGCTGAACATCGAAGAAGACCCAAAGTTTGGGTCCAAACCTTACAAAAACCCCCATTTGGGCCAAAAATGTAGGGCTGGACTCGATTTTTGATTTTTTTTTGAATTACTCCCTATTTTCGGGGGTTTTATTCCCAAAGCAATGACAGAGTCAGGGAAACACGGGTTTCGACGCAATTCGCGGACATTCGCAGCGAAAGCAACAAAAAAGAGCGAAAAATGCTTTTCAGAAACTTTTCTTCGCTTTTCTCTCACTATTTCACTTAACATACGATCCCTTTTGCGCTCAAAACAAACAAAACAACACTTCGTTGACAACAAAAGAGCGGACAATAAAATGGCGGAAAACAAGCTTTTTGTCTGCATTTCGTGTGACTTCGCGTCGCATTCGGCGGACGGCCTCTCGCGACACCTTCCGTGCGGCCGATCGGCGGCCGAACAGCCGTTCCGTTGCCGACAACTCGAGTGCGGCTTCGAAGGCAAGTCGTGGCCGTCTTTGCGGACGCATCTGATAAACGGCCACAAAATGCGCGCCGAGAGTACGGCCGGAAGTCGGAGGGAAGATGACTTCCGGTGTCGCGAACGCGAGTGTCCTTACAGTGGACACAACGGACACGCCTTACGTTTGCATCTCTTGAAGCGACACAACATTCGCGTCGTCGACAACGCCTGCACTCAGAGGCGAGACATCTGTCGGACGAACGGCGAGACTGGAGGACAAAGTCTTCGGTGTCCGCGAAAGGACTGCCGATTCGTCGGCAAGAGTGCGATCGCCGTTCGCACGCATGTCATCAATGGTCACGAGAGAAGAGGGCGGAAGCGGAAGGCGGAAGAAGTGGGCGAACAGACGGCCAACGCGTGTCTGTTCCCGAAATGCGGACAACAGTTCGGGTCTTCGCGCGAACTCCGAGAACACATCCAATGGACGCATAAACGGCGCGAACGACGGAAATGCTATTTTCCGGACTGTCGTTACGAAACGGCAGACGTGCGCGCTCTCAAACACCATCTCCTGCAACGCCACCCCAACCCTTCCCAAGCGCCCCCTTCGCCCCCCTCGCAGACGCAGACGCAGCCGCTCTTCCGGTGCCGACACTTTGGCTGTCGTTTTCCCGGAAGTCGTTCTCTGAAAGGACTGCGAATTCACACGAAGAAGAATCACGCGAAGAAGCCTTTGGCCGTCGAAGCGCCCTCCGGCCGACGGAAGCCCTCTTCCGGCGCGTCGGCGAACAAAGCGCTGCCTTCGAGACCGAAACCGCAGTTAAGTCTTCAGGAAAAGCGAAGACAACTCCAACACCAACTCCTACAACAAGTGTACGAACAGACTATGAAGAAGCCTTTGGCCGTCGAATCTCAAGCACTTCCGGTGATCGAGACATCGCTGGTGAGGGAAGAGAACCGGAAGTCGTCGGTAATGGTCTTCAAGTGCTCGAAATGCGTGTTTTTCTCGCAAAACGTCTTTGATTTGCGAACACATCTGCGAAGCGCTCATTAGATGGCGCTTTCATTCACTGTCTTTGACTTTATTTCATTCAATAAACTAATTCTCATTACAATTGTCGGACGGATTGCCGGTCACGTGACTCGCCTCCAGTGATGTCAGTCGTTGTTTCAGACGCTTCTGAGAGGACGAGAATTCGGCCAAAAGTCGCGCCAAACGCGTCTGCAAGCCGTCCACCGCGCGCTCCATGTTCTCCACCTTCACGTGGAGTTCCTGTTCGAGACGCTGACTGCGCGCCAACAGCTCCTCGTCCAAGAGGTTGTCCTTTCGGAGGATCTGTTTTCCCCGTTCGATGAGCACTGCCTTCGCCTCCGAGAAGTCCTCCAAAACGTCCCATAAGTCGGCTTTCGAGAGACAGAAGAGGTCTGAATAGCCGACGGACCGCACGTTCGCTGTCCTCCTGTTCCCCGTTTTGACGCCCGATATGTTGAGTATCGAGAGCTCGCCGAAAGTGGCGCCATCTGAGAGCGCGGCGAACACTGTCGTGCCGTCGTCGCCCACCACCGACAGCCGGCCCCTCTTCACGATGTACATCTGCGGGAGAGCAGAGAAGGTGAGCCACTCGGTGGTCACACTCCCACTCATTTACCTCTTTGCCGACGTCTCCCTTGCGGCAAATGTAGTCTCCGGGAGAGAAGACTTGGAGTCGGAGTTTGAGAACGAGTTGCGCGAGAAGTCCGGGTTCGCAGTCCTGGAAGAGCCGAACTCTGCGCAGCGTCTGTAAGTGCACGTGAATCGCGATCTCGGCCTTCAACTGGTCGGGCAGTACTGACGTCACGGCCTGTTCGTCCAGCGACTGCTTATTCGTCCACAAGTAGTCGAACCACTTGATGACGCGCGTCTCCAGCTGTTTGGTCACGTGACGGAACTCCATGTACTGCTTGACAGCGTCCATGCGGGACTGGAAGTCGGCGCGCGCGGCGTTCATGTTCGTGATCATTGAGCCCACGTTGCCGACGATTGTGGCGAAGATGAGGACACCTGAGGAGGGAGGGAGTGAGAGAAGGGGTGACAGTGAGAGAGCAGTCCTACCGATGAGGAAGTTGAGGACAACGAAGAGGTACTCGACATCTGTCTCGGGAGTGGGCACTTCGCCGATTGTCGTGAGCGTGAGAGTGGACCAGTAGAAGCAGTAGACGTACTGATGACGTAAGGAGTCGTGCGTCGCGTTCGCGCGTCTGTTGTAAACCCAACGGTCGCTATCGAAGCCAATGGCGAACGAAATGCAGAAATAAATGCCTGAAAGCGGAAAACGGAGTCATTCTATTGGTCGGTCAGTTGTCGGGCACTTACAGGCGTTCCAGTGGATGAGGACGAGGATGTAGACGACGAGTTTGGCGATGCGGAAGGCGTAGGGCCACGACGTGCGCGTTTCCGTCCTCTCGAACCACTCCTGGAGCCGATGAAAGCGCGCCAATCGGTTGAAGCGCACGAAAACGGGACAGGGATAGAGACCTATAGAGATAAGATATAGAGACGGATAGAGGTAAGCGACGGATAGAGACCTTCGGGACGACAGCGGAGGCCGAGAACGAGGAGCGAGAGGTCGGACGGGAAGAGCGACAGGAGATCCAGTTTGAAGCTCTTGGACGACATGTAGTGCACGAGAAGGCGGCGCGAGTCGCGCACCAGGAGGCCCGACTCGAGGTAAGCTGGGGGCGAGAGGGGGGTGTTAGAGGGGGTGGGGTGGGCGCGTGGGTCGCCACCAATACCGGTGCGCGCGTTGACGGCCATATCGACGGCATATAAGGCGTCGAAGCCGTAGTCGAGAATAAGCCACGAGACGAGCGAAAGGTTCTGGAGTTTCCAAAAGACGGAGCGACCGATGATTATCACGAGATTGTAGAGAACGGCGACGCTTTGGGAGACCGGAAGTGAGAGCCGGAAGTGCGGAAAGGGAGGCTAATAATACCTGATGAGTGAGAGCCAGCGGTAGTAGAGATCTGTGAGAGGAAAGGCTTATTAGAGGGAAGACATTGAAAGAGGGAGAACTGACGGCCCGACGGGTCAATGACCAGAGTCTTGCGTTTGGCGCTGAAGAAAGAGCGAGAGTGAGAGGGGAACGGGAGGTCTGGCTGTGGTCTTTCCTACCGGTGGCTGTGGTCCTCCTGAAGAGCGAACCTCTGGAGGAAAGAGTCGCCATTTTGGTCGTTGTCTTCGGCGGAAACGGAGCGCCGACTCCTTCGCCAGCGACGGATGAGCTGAAGACAAGCGAATGACTTCACGAAAGCCGAGACAACGAACGGTACTTACGGTCACGAGTTGTGCGGCTTTCCCGACGCGCGGGTCGTCGGGAGGCGTGAGGGAGGCGTTGGGGGCGGGGACGGAGGGAAAGGCTGCCAGTGGAGGGGAAATGGCGTTTTGGGGCGCGATTTGGTTGTCTTTCGGTTTCATTGGAGTAAAGGTTTGGACAAAAGGTTTGTTTGTTTTGTTTGAAAAGTAATTACTTTTTTGATGAGAAATCGATTTTTCGGAAACTAATGACTCTTTTGTCGCAATATTTGCTCTCTTTTTGAGTCAAACATTGCTTTCAATACAAAAATCAATAGAAAAACGATTAGAAAAGAGAGAAACAAAACGACGAATGAATGCAAGGATTAGGCAAAGGATTAGACGACGGATTAGACGACAAATCGGCGCTTAATTGGCGACAAATCACGTGTCGGCGCTTCGGAGGGAACGTGCGATCGATGGGAGGCAAGGAATGGGAGGAACGGGAGTCGAGAAATCGTTTGAATAAACACTCGGCGCGCGCCTATGGGCTGAGGGAAGGGTTGAGGGGAACTGGAGTTGTGTCAGTAGAGCGCGAGAGGCGAAGGGAACGACGTTTGAGTCATTGATCGCCAAAAGAAAGGCTTTTTTGAGATGTTTTTTGAGAGATTTTCGACAAAAAATTGATTTATTTTTTGAACTTTTTGTTCAGAGAAGAGGCGACGCATGCGCTTTGGTTGCGACGCCGCCATTGGTTGCGGCGAATGGGGGGCGAAATGGGGTCACCGTTTGTGGCGCCGTCTGTCGGCCGCTTTGGCAGTGATTGGTTTGGTTTGCGTTGTTTTCAAATGACGAACGGAAAGACGGCTTTCCTTCGCTTCGGATAGTCTTCGAAGTGTTTTTGGTACCAGTGATGGTTGAAAAGGCCGACAATCAGCTGATTGGTCGCCACGAAGCAGCAGACGAGCCACCAGGTGCTCGAACGGCCGTTCAGGACGACGCACAGCGACAAGTAGATCAGGATTTCGGCCAAATAGTGCGGACACGAGACCAACTCAAACCAATGGCCGCGCGGAATGGAGTGGCCGTACGTCACGACGCGGCCTACGGGTCGGAGAGGGAGTGAGAGGGGAACGGGAGGCGCGATTTGTTACGAACCGTTGGCGTCTTTGCGAAGAGCGGCTAAAATGGCGTGACTTTTGAACTGAACGGAAGAGAAGAAGAGGAAGAGTGCGGCGCCGATGACGTGGTTGGCGGCGAGGAAGGCCGTCGGCTGGAGTGCGGGAGTGGCGGCACCTGTGGGCGAGAGAGGAGTTAGCGTTGAAGAGTTAGAGTTGAGTGCTTCGAACCGTTGAATCCTTTGGCGTCCGCGAGAAGCGAAAGTCCGACTCCGAAGTAGAAGGAAAAGCCGCACAAGTAGTGGATGAGCGCCATCTTGCCGTCGCGCGAGTAGACCGAGAGTTGAGTGCATTCGTAGAGACGGCGCGAGACCTGAACCTCAATGAGAAGCATCGCGACGACGACGGACTCGGGCGCGACTGAGAGCGAGAGGACTCGAGAGTGAGAGGACTCGAGCGCGAAAGGACTTACCGTTTGGGCGCCGATGCGGACCCACGAGAGCGTCGAGAGTGAGTGCGAGGAGCGCGGGAACGGCCTTCTGTTGGACGTAGACGCGGAAGACGGCGTACAGGAGCGCGACGTAGAAGAGAGTGGCGAAGACGTAGAAGTGGAAGAACCACCTGAAGAGGGAGAGAGTGGTAAAGAGGACTCTTCTTACGGACTTAAGGCTTACTTCTTGGGGATCTGGATGTGATTGCGCTGTTGTTTGCCGTCAGCGGCGGTCTTTCCGTAGCGGAAGACGCGCTGAATGGCTTCGGGCGCGAACGCCGAGCCGTAGAGAGCGAGGAGACCAAGGAGTGAGACAATGGCTGAGAAGGAGATCCATTGCGAGTGAAGAAGAAAGGAATCCATTGTCAGAACGAGAGTTCAATGAATGAAATGTTTTCTTAAAATAACTTAAATTTCGACACAATTTTCAAAACAAAATCAAAAGTCATTCAACTCTGAGAGCGCGTGCGCACACATATGTGTGTCACACAAGTCTTTATTGGATTAAAATGCGATTAAATTAGGATTAAATGCGATTACAGTTGTATTTACAGCAGAAATATGTACAGAAACTCATATGAAGACCGCCTGTTGTGTCGACGACGGGGCGAAGCGCGCGCCCGACGGCGACTGCACTGACGACTGCTGGACGACAGTCGTCGTCGCGTCCGTCGTCTGCAGCGACAGCCAGTCGTGCGCTGAGATGGGCGACGACGTGGAGGGCGACGAGATCCACGTGTTGGGGGAGTCGGGGGAAGGCGTGAGATAGGACTCGGGGGGGCGGGGGTTCACCTGGACCCCCGTTTGCGGCCATTGCGTCATGAGAGGCGGCTGTTGCAGCAGTTGGCGCTGTTTGAAGGTGAGGCTGTCCTCGTAAGTTGGCGGCGGCCGAGAGGGCGGACTCACGAGCGGCGGCGATAACTCGTAGATCTGTTGTGACGTCATTTGGTTGCGCGGCGGCGGCAGAGGCGGGACGGCGCGCGCCTGACTCGGTTTGCGGCGCAGAGAGTGTTGTTTGGGCGAAATGGGGGCGTTGTGGGAGGCGGGGGTGGGCATGGGTGGCACGAACTCGTCGAGGAGGCCCACGATGTCGGTGTGCATGCGCTCGAGCGCTACATCACGCGGGAGGCGGTCCATGTGGTCAGTGATGTCGCGGTTGGCGTTGCTTTCGAGCAGAAGTCTCGCGCACTGGAAGGCGCCCTCTCTGGCGGCCAGAAAAAGGGGCGTTTCCTCCCGATTGTTTTGGGCGTCGCGATTGGCGCCGTTGACCAATAGGACGCGAACGGCGTCGTAGTTGTTGACAGACGCCGCCCAATGGAGAGCAGTCTTTCCGCAGTCGTCGGCGGCGTTGAGATCGCATTCACTCATCACTAACTGCTCTAACATTCCTTCGTTCGCGAGACGCGCCGCCAGAATCAAAGGAGTCGTGCCGTCAGACGCACGCGCGTTGAGGTTCGTCTGGCGGTTACGCAGAAGGATCTCGAAGACGCCGCGCGCGTCCGACGCGATGGCCGTGTGGAGCGGCGTTCTGCCCGTCGCGTCGGTCGCGTTGCAGTCGGCGCCCGAGTCGAGGAGGCGTTTGGCGGCGTCGGCGCGCGCGTAACGGGCGGCCAAGTGGAGCGACGTCTCGTGCGTTCGGTCGCAAGTCATGCCGACGTTCGCGCCGTTCATCAGAAGGTCGTGAACCGCGTTGTTGTCCGCCGAGACGACGTCCGGGTTGTCGATTGTGATCACGTGGTGTGGGAAGGCCGAGGCCACCATTAGGGGCGTCATTCCGTTCGGACCAATGGCGTCGATGGAGGGCGTGTTGAGGGGCGGAGTCATGGCTTCGGTTCCGTAGGCGTTGTAGGCATCGAAGTGGGCGTTCGTCCATTTCCGGCATTCCATGGGCTCCTCATAGATGGCGGTCTTGTCGTCCATCAGATCCTCGCGACTCTTGAATTGACGCATTTCCTGTCCGTCCGGACGTCCGGTTCGGGCGCCGCCTGTTGTGCGCCGGCGCGCGCGGCCGTACTCTCCCGAAGCGGCGCTCGCACTGGCATTCGCCATATGGCGGTCGCGCGCCGAGTGGCCGGTCATGGAGGCGTTGAAGAAGCCCTCGGGGAACCACGTGATCCCTTTGGCCACTTTCTTGCGATTGGTTGTGACGAGAACGCCGACGAAAGCCCCGCCCACGAGAAGGATGACGACAGCGACGGCGACATACGTCAGACCGTGTGGCGAGTCACGCGTGACATCACCCTCGAGCCGGTCGTCGTCCGTGGCGTCGATATCCGTGATCTTGAATCCAGAGTGCAGTAAAGACGCGAATCTGTCACCGTCTTTGTTCTTCGCGGCCGACAAGAAGGACGCGATTTGTCGCGAGGAGTCGAAGCACTGGTCGGCGGCGCAGCGCCTGTTGTCCACTGAGAGCACGAGTTGTGTGGAATGCGTGCCGTTTTGCTTGAGTTGTCGCAGTTTGACAACCGATCCGATGACAGTCGACAACGCCCTCAACAGCGAAGACAGCGTTTCGCGCGATTCGGCCGTCGATTGCGTCAACAAAGCGAACGGAGCGTCCAATTGGATGATGAGTTCGCCCGCCGCGTCCACCTCGTGCGCGGCCGGCTCGCAGTCGAGGCCATCCCACGCGCACTCGGCGTTATTGCATCCCGAGTCGCACCGGCCGTTCGCGTAATTGGCGGCGCAGTAGCTTTCGTACATTTCGTTGCAGTTGCGGTCGGCGGCGCCGGAAGCCGACGGGAAGCGACAGTCCATTCCGTCGAAGAGACACGCCTTGGAGTTGCAGTCGGGGTCGCAGTGGCCGTCGCCGAAGCGCTCGTAGCAAAAGGCGGCGGAATTACAGGCTTTCCAGGGGTTGTCGCGAAAGGGCGAGACTTCGGACTCGCAGTAGAAGCCCGTGAAGGGTTGTGCGCAGACGCACTGGAACGCGTTCACGCCGTCCACACACGTGCCGCCGTTCAGACATGTGACGCGCGAACAGTCGTTCACGTTCTGCTCGCAGAAGCGGCCGGAGAAGCCTAAGGGGGAGAGCGGGAGGTGAGAGAGAGTACAGAGGACACGTGACTACTGGACACTCACCCTGCGGACACACGCACTGGTAGTTGGCGCGGAGGTCGAGGCATTTTCCGCCGTTCAAACAGGGCTGAGACGCGCACTCGTCGGTCTCGCGTTCGCAGCGCCGCCCCGCGAATCCGTGCGCGCAGTGGCAGACGAAGGCGTTGACGTCATCCTCACACGTGGCGCCGTTGAGACACGGGTTGGACGCGCACTCGTCCACATCCGACAGACAGCGGGCGCCGTAATAGCCTTTGGGACACAAGCACTGGAAGGCGTTCGCGCGGTCGATGCAAGAGCCGCCGTTCGCGCACGGATTGGATGCACACTCGTCGACGTCACGCTCGCAGTGATTGCCTGTAAAGCCGGGCGAACAGCGGCACTGATAGCGCGCGACGAGATCCACGCATTGGCCGCCATTGAGACACGGCTCGAGCGCGCAGTCATTGTCGTTCGTTTGACACAGAGTTCCGGAAAAGCCTTCAAAAGAGCAGACGTTATGTTATAAGAGAGCGATATATAGGACAACAGGTGTTCGCAAAGCAATGGCTTTACGCACATGTGTTCCTCATATGCGAACATCTCCTCATGTATTCATATGCGGAACACATGTGCGAAAGGAATGCAGAAAAAGCGGACAAACCTTTGGCGCAAAGACACTGAAAGCCGGCCTTTCGGTCGACGCATTGGCCGTCGTTTAGACACGGATTGGACGCGCATTCGTCGATCTCGCGCTCACAACGACCGCCAGTGAAGCCTTTGGGACACAAACACACGAAATGGTTGACGTCATCCTCACACGTGCCGCCGTTCAGACACGGACTCGAAGAGCACTCGTCGACGTCAGAGAGACAGCGCGCGCCGAAGAAGCCCTTCGGACACAAGCACTTGAAGCCGTTGGCGCGGTCCACGCAAGAGCCGCCATTGGCGCAGGGATTGGACGCGCACTCGTCGACGTCATGTTCGCAGACGGCGCCCGAGAAGCCTATCGGAGAGAGTGGTCAGCATATGGAGGTGTGAAGTGCTTGGACTCACCATTGGGACACTCGCACTGGTATTTGCCGACGAGATCGCGACAAACGCCGCCATTTCTGCACGGATTGCTCCAACACTCGTTCACGTTGTACTCGCAGTTGTTTCCCGTCGTTCCCAACGGACAGTCACACGAGTAGCCGTTCACATGGTCGCGACATGTGCCGCCGAACTGACACGGAGTGGACAGGCATTCGTTGAGCTGCGATTGGCAGAGGAGGCCCGTGAAGCCGGCGTCGCACTGACAGCGGAAGCCGTTGACCTGGTCGACGCATGTGCCCCTATGACACGGCGAGGACTCGCAGTCATTGACGTTGAGTTCGCACTGTTGGCCGGCGAAGCCTTTGGGACAGAGACACGAGAATCCTTGCGTTTCGTCGCGACATTGGCCGCCATTGAGACAGGGCGTGGAGAAGCAGTCGTCGAGATTGCGTTCACATCTCTGGCCTTCGAATCCCTGCGGACAGAGACAGCGGAAGGCGTTGATGAGGTCCGTGCAGAGCGCGCCGTTCAGACAGGGCTGAGGCGCGCACTCGTCGACGTCGAGCTCGCAGTGCACTCCGGAGTAGCCTATAGTGAAGGGAGTGTGAGAAAAGTCGCACACATTTGAGAGAGAGTTCCCATGGGATGCGCGTCACTGACCCCACAGAGAGAGCATCTGTTGGGGAGCGCAGGAGTGCGCAGAGGGGACAGGGGGAGCAGGGGGATTGACTCACCAGGCATACAGACGCAGCGGTAGGAGCCGCGCTCGTCCAAACACGTGCCGTCGTTGAGACACGGACTCGAGTCGCACTCGTTTATGTTGACCTCACAGCGCGGACCCGCAAACCCGAGAGCGCAGTCGCAGCGGAAGGAGCCGGGGGTGTTGACACAGGTGCCCCCGTGCTCGCAGGGGGAGCCACTCTCGCGGCACTCGTCGATGTCTTGGGTGCAGTCGACGCCTTTGAAGCCCGTGGGACACGAACACATGTATGTGCCGTCGATGGGAGAAGTGTCGCAGATGGCGCCGGCTGTTGGGAAGGGAACACCTGTTAGCAGAGATATGAGAGCAGAGATTTATGTGACAAACCGTGACACGGATTGGAAGCGCACGCGTCGTCGAGATGGCAGAGGAGTCCAGTCTTGCCTTCGGGACACTCGCAGTAGAAGGAGCCGACGCGGTCGTGACACGTGGCGCCGTTGAAACACGCGGCGGC